TTTCCTACACTAATCCCTATGTCCAAAACAAAATGGCTTCACAAAATCATCTGTACTTCGGTTTAAACTTATTCACATCACTGTACGAGGGAGAACATTAGGAGGAACATGATGGAATAAGAGGAGGAATTCTAAAGACGCGATTTGTAGAAAAGTAATATTAATTATGCCAATTATCTGGCCTCCTTAGCCATGATGCCTAATTACCCTGCGGTACATCATTGATGATACATTGTGAAATGATAGCTAATTTTGCTGTAGGTTTTATTTGATTAGAACATTGTACTGCACATGCATGTTCAACCCTCAGAGTTTACTGCTCAGTAGGGAAACCTACATCATAAGCCCAAGTAGGAACATTTTCACTGTTACATCAAATGGGATGAGATTTTCCCAGTGGGGATGAAGAGGGGCATTCTATAAAAGGTCGCAGATCTCCTGCCCTAAATCCTTGCTCCTCAGAATGCGGTCCATGGAGCAGCAGCGAAATGCAGAAATTCAGGCCCCACCCCTGACAAAATCTGCATTTTAACAAGATTCCCAGGTGATTCAATTCACAATAAAAATTTGCAAGGCACCCCTGTAAACCACTCCTTCCTTTGCCACAGGGAGTGGACAGAGGAATGAAGAGTATGAGGACAAATAGTCACTGCCCGAGCTACTACTTACACATCAGAGCTGAGCCTGTGGCTTGTTTAAAATGAAATGAAATTCCCAGCCCCACCCCCAGAGCTTCCCAGTCACAGGTGTAAGGTGGGGCCCGTCCTCTGGTTCTTTAACAAGTACCCTCAAAATGTCTGAGAAGCCTTCAAGTTTGAGACCCACCCTCTGAGTGAGCCTGCTTGCTCACTGACATTAGAGAAAAGGGAAAGACTGAGAAAGCTGGCGATAGGGGGATTGGACTGTTCTCAATAAACAACACAGGAGGCTACAGAAGGAAGAAGATGACAGTTGGAATTGAACAGGGAGAAAGCTTGGATAGAGAATATATTCCATAGGTCCTTTTATACGATTCTATCTGAATTTGACTCCATCGCCCAGTAATTTGCTGAAAGCGAGCCAAAATAAGAGTATTGTTGCTACATTTTAAAGGCAAAGTGGCTTAACACCCTCTTGCTTTTCCTCATTTATGATGCATTTCTCTCCAGGAGCAATCAAGGCCTTTCCAATGGAACTGAAATGCCATTGGAATGGAATGCCCCACCCAATGGAATGTCAGGTATAGAGCACGCCGTTACTGTGTTCCTGCCCACCCCAAATTTCAGAGCTAGTCTACTCATTCTGTTTTTGAATCTGGGTGACCATGCGGCACAATTGGTCACCAGTGCTTCTTAAGGTCTCATCCCAGAGGATAAATATTTAATATTTGAAGGCAACTCAATCCATATTCCCTGAATACAGCATAAATCTGAAGTTGCTACAGAAAGAAAAGCTCAGCTAACACGAGCCCAGAGACTGATTCATGGTTTTTAAAATGATTAACTCCACTCCCTTCCCTGCTGTAGCTGGCCAGTAACAAATCATCCTTGAGGGATTTATTGAGTTAAGAGAACACGCTTAACATAAAGGAATATGTCATGGATGCTTCTAAATGCATTTGGTCAGACATAATATGTTTAAGTCCTTTTTCATATTTGGTGTCATTTATATGTTTGCATACTTTGTGAAACTCTGAAATTTTTATAGTACACTTTAATATGCAGTAAAAAAATTTAAAAAGCAGTCCTGAATTCTTCCAAAATTTCATTAATTATATGACCCTTGGAAAAGACACGACCCTTGGAGAGGACATGAGAGTAGAGCACGTGTTATTTTGGGATAAATGTGATCGATAGAGAAAAACACATTGGGTAATATAAGAAAAAATGTTGGAACTATAAATAAATTGATGAGTATATGTAACACAGTCCATAAAGGAAGATGCCTGGCAACCTGTTCCAGGGCTTACAGCTTGGAACCTAGTAACATGGTAAGACTTTCTCTGGTTGTGTATCACTCATTCATTCACTCATCTACTAAGTACTGAGGGCTCTTCACTGAGCAAATGGGTAAAATGTGTGAGATGGACACCGCCCCTGGATTTGTTCTGCTGGCTGGAAAGTGAACTCCTACAAGTGCTCAAAAGAGATCATTGCTATAAAATGGCATTTTAAAACAAGATACAATGGCCACCACCCCATCAAGGGCATTTTTAGCTACGCCATTCCACACACATATCTCAAATCCACTAAGCAACTTCTCTGCATTCCACTTTGCTGTAGTCTCAATAATCACAGGGGCTTCTGACTTTTTTTTTTCTTCAATTTTAAACTGTACGCTTCTTTTCTCTGCATCATTTATAAATGAATCAAGGATTTCTTGGGCACTTGTTCTATTTAGCTAACAGTTGGGGAAATATACAAAGAGGAATGGAGCATACCCTTGCTCTTATAATCAGTTTGGATCATAAGACAGATGCATGTGAATAGCTGATACCTACAGGAAGTCATTGTCAGGAAAACATCACCATTCACAATTCCTTCCTCTTAAAATTGGGCAAAAGAGCCAGACTATTGATAACATAAAGTACAACTTTAAAAATTTATGAAAATAATGTAGCGATGAACAAACCATAATTTACGTCTCTGTAGGTAACTGCCCATTTTAGTCAACTTGATTTTACAGGATGGTAGAAATCTGCTGTACTCTGGCGCCATCTGGAGGCAGACTCGCACTGAGGCCATGTCCCAAATCGACTTGCAGCCTGCTCTTGAAGTACTTTTGTTTATCAAATCACTCTTCTTTTTTTCTTTTTTTTCTTTTCTTTTTTTAAAAAAAAAAAATTTTAGCGAAAGGGAATTGTGAACTGTATTTGTAAACTAGAATTTGTTCTAAAGTACATATTTTTCAAGGAGGGCACACTTGAGTGGAAGAGAACATCAAGGGATGTCATAGATTGTTCTAGGACATGGGATGTGTACATGGGTGGAGAGGCCTCAATATGGTTTCACATTCAGTATCATTTATATATTTGCATAACTTGCAAAACTCTGAAATTGTTATGATACACTCTAAAATAAGTTATATTTCAGTTATATCTAAATAATAAAATAAAACATCATACAATTATTTGTTTAAAAATGCATGAATACCTGAGTGAATGAACTGCCATGTGCCAGTGTTCCATGAGGTAAATATATCTCATTAAATTTCAATTTTCTTACTACCTTCTTGGAAGCCCTTCCATTCACTAGGACTTGGCACGCTGCTCTTTGAGTGCTGTTATTGAGCTTGGTTAATGTTCAGAGATGGACAAAGAAGAACCAGAACTGTGGTATAACTTTCCTCTAAGAAAAAGTATACAGTCCTTTGTAAATGACTATTCACATCTGGTTGAAAGCTGTTCTTGCCTTCAGAGGAAACTGCCTTTAATGACATGATACATAATGCTCAGACTCATTTTCAACAAAATGATTTCATTTTCTGGAATAAACACTGGCCTCTAACTCATCAACTGATATGAAATTTCAGGATCCCACGCCACTAGAGATGGATTGTGTTTTAAGTCAAGACATTTCTCAAGTTACCTTTCTCCACAGAAAGCAGAACTCACCAATACGTGTGACATAGTGTTTTCAGCTTTAACTGTATTGTGCATTCAAAACGTTAAACTTGGTTTTCTGATATGATAGGGAAACCAGTATTCTTATTAAATATTCTGACTGATAGAATTTTATCATTTCAAATTCATATGATATACCAATTTCCTAAGAATCAGGACACAGCAAATATAATTGGTAGTATATTATGTGTAATGGAATCTATTTTTCTTTTTAAAAATAATATTGGATTTTACTTTATTTACTGAAATATAATCTACACGCAATATCCTACTAGCTTCCGATGTACATCATAGTGGTTTGATATTTTTATACATCACAAAATGATCCCTGTGGTGAGTCTAAGTTACCACCTATCAGCATACCATGGAATCTTTCTTGATGGCTAGAATATACTTCAGCATCATTACTGCCTTGGTGATCACTGTGAACATTAAAATACAAGGCTAGAAGATGTACTTAAGGCCTGACTGGGAGTTAGGGTCTGAAATTTAGCAACTGACATCAGCTTATTGTAGAAAAGGAAGAATGCAAATAAGGATATTTGTAAGAGTCATTATGTCAGTTACTACAACAAGCCTAAACTGAAGAAATATTTAAAGTGAGAAAGCTGTGCTTCACTTCTCCCTACTGCAACTATGTATGTGTTAGTTTGAAGATGGATCTACATGTGATGATAAATGCCCAGCCCTTGGAAGAGAGAGGGCGACTTTTTTTTTTTTTTTTTTTAGAGAGAGGTCCGTGGCACACAATTCAGCAGTCACCCTCCTTGGTATTTACCCACAGGAGTAGAAAGCTTCTGTCCCAACAAAAACTTGCACATGAATGCATATACCAGCTTTGTTCACAATTGCCAAAACTTGGAAGCCACCAAGATATCTTTCAATAAATGAATGGACAAATAAACTGTGGTGCATCCAGAAGATGGACTGTTCCAAATTTTTTTTTAATGTCTTATTTATTTCTAGGAGAGAGAGAGAGAGACAACGTGAGCAAGGGAGGGTCAGAGAGAGGGAGTCACAGACTGAAACAGGCTCCAGGCTCTGAGCTGGCAGTCAGCACAGAGCCCGACGCGGGGCTCGAACCCATGAACTGCGAGATCATGACCTAAGCGAAAGTCGGACGCTTAACCGACTAAGCCACGCAGGCGCCCCGAAGATGGACTGTTCTTCAGTGCTAAGAAGAAATAAAACGTCAGGCCAGGAAAAGACACGGAGGAAACTTAAATGCGTATTACTAGATGGACGAAGTCCATCGGAAAGTTCTACGTAGTGTATGATTCCAGTTATAATGCATTCTAGAACACACAACACTATGGAGACAGTAAGATGATCAGTGGTTTCCAGGGGCTGCAGGGGGAGGGAGGAAGAGACAGAACACAGGGGCTTTTTTAGGGCAGTGAAAATCTCTGCATGCTGCTCTCATGATGGATGGATGGATGTCATAATACATTTGTCAAAGCCACCAAAAGTGACCCTAAGGTAAACTACACTTGGAGAGATTATGACATGTCAATGTAGGTTCAGTAATTGTGACAAATGTACCATTCTGTGGAGGGTGGTGACAGTGGTGGAGGCTATGAACATGTGAGGGGGAGGGGTATAGGGGAACTTTTTGCAATTTCAGTTCAGTTTTGCTGTGAACCTAAAAGTGCACTAAAACTATAAAGTCTTAATAAAAATTTAATTTAGGGGCATGTGGATGGCTCAGTCCGTTAAGCGTCCAACTGTTGATTTCAGCTCAGGTCATGATCTCATGGTTTGTGAGATTAGGCACCGCATCAGGCTCTGTGCTGACAGTGCAGACTTCCTGGGATTCTCTGTCTCTCTCTCTCTCTCTCCCTCTCCTTACCCCAACCCCCCCGCTTGTGCTTTCTAGCTCTCTCAAAATAAATAAACATTAAAAAAATTTAATTTAAGGGGCGCCTGGGCGGCTCAGTTGGTTAAGCATCCAACTTCAGCTCAGGTCATGATCTCATGGTTCATGGGTTCGAGCCCCATGTCCGGCTCTGTGCTGACAGCTCAGAGACTGGAGCCTGCTTCGGATTCTGTCTCTCCCTCTCTCTCTGCCCTTCCCCCCCTTTCAAAAATAAATGAACATTAAAATTTTTTTTTAATTTAATTTAAAATACCACCGTAAAGTAGGTACTATAACCATTCCGATTTTACAGATGTGTAAACCGATTCACAGCTATCAATATGGTAATAACTTATGCAGGGGCATAGCTAGTTAGCCTCAGAACTGAGATTTAACCACAGATACTGAAGCTCTAGAGTCTCACAGCTAATGCCGTATTCTTCTCTGCCAATAAGGTTGATTGTCAATTATTCCCATTTTAAAGATGAGGAAGCTGTGCTCAGGGTAGTTCACTAACCTGCCCAACATTGCCCAGCAAGGATGGATGAAACCCACGTTCAGACCCATGTGAATCTGATTCTAAAGTCTGTGCTTTTCTTAGCAAAAGACTTGGCCAATAAAACTCAAACTTTGGACCTGGCATTTCAGCCTGGAGCATAAGGAACAGCACCTTGGGAAATCTTCTCCCTCTCATTGACTGCAGTGTGATTCTCACAGCACGGAGCCTATCATGTTAACATGATGATCTGTTTATGTGTCTATCCTAACACCTCATTTCTAATTCATCCCCGATTACCCTGTGCCTAGCATGACGCCTCATACTCTAAAGGTGATTAATAAATGCTCACTGAACCAGACAGAACTGCCCAACTATACATCTATTTTTTTTTATTGCTTGTGATACATAGTTTCTTCAGGTCTTTCTATCTCTGCACCTCCCCTGCCACCAAAACCTCTCCTCAAAGTCATGTTCATGCCACAGTTGTGACTATTGTATTTCTGAAACAAAAATGGAGGAATTTTATCTGATGAGTATGAGGACAATGGGAGAACATCATTGGAATCTGTCCTTCTCGGATGAATCCTTGACTTTAACTCAAATGCAAGATGGATTTTTCCAGGGAAGACTACCTGAACTGTAAGAACTTAACACTCAGGATTTCTGGCATCAGCACCTGGTACTTACATAAATCTGGATCTCTCTAGACTTGGGACTTCCCCATTATAGTTTCAGGATCCTTTAACACTCTGTTACCAACTCATTTTTTTTAAGTTTATTTTTATTCGTTTTGAGAGAGAAATAGAGAGCAAGTGGGGGAAGAGCAGAGAGAGAAGGAGACAGAAGCCCAAGCAAGCTCTGCATTGTCAGCGCAGAGCCTGATGCAAGGCTTGAACTCACAAACAGTGAGATCATGACCAGAGCGGAAGTCAAGAGTCCGTCACTTAACTGACTGAGCCACCCCGGTGCCCCACCAACTCAATTTGGGAATAGACTTCAGGTTCTATACACAAAGGCATTCTCAAGGAATGTTAACTTTCCTCTGTTTTTTGTTTTGTTTTGTTTTTCACTGATCCTCTTGTCCTGTTTTGGATACCAAATGCTTGAATGTCAGTTTGATTGTGAAACAGGAATTAAATTGTATACCTTGTTAGTGTTTGAATATTCATTCATTTGTTCATTCATGTTATAAAAACTTCCTGAGTACCTCATGGACCTGCACTGTTCTAGGTCCTGGGGATTAAGCAACGAACAAAGTCAGGCAAAGTCTCTTTCCTTCTGAAGCTGACAGTCTACCGAGAAAGAGTAATAATAAGCAAATAATCAAGTAAATATATAGTATGTCAGATGAAGGCAAGAGCTGTGGAGAAGAATAAAACAGGGTGAAATGAATCAGAAGTGCCGGGGTTGAACATCGACATTAAGAAGCAAGGGCACCACCATGTGTGTGCTGAGGAAGGAGATCAGGGGGAGGAAATAGCTGACGGAAAACAGGCAGGGACGTGCCTGGTATGTGTGTGTGAGAACTGTATGGGCTACAGTAGAGCTAGCAAGACAGAGGTGAGGTCAGAGTGAGTGGGGGCCAGGTCATACAGGGGCCTGTAGTTCCCTAAGCCTTTAGCTGTTACTCAAACTAAGATTTGGAGCCCTTGTAAGGCTTTGAGCACAGACATGATATGTTCGGACTTAAGTTTTTTTGTTTGTCTAAAAAAATGTTTTTAATGTTTATTTATTTATTTTTTCTTGAGAGAGAGAGAAAGAGACCGTGTGAGTAGGGGAGGGACAGAGAGAGAGGGAGACACAGAAGCCAAAGAAGGCTCCAGGCTCTGAGCTGTCAGCACAGAGCTGGATGCAGAGCTCAAACTCATGAAACATGAGATCATGACCTGAGCTGAAGCTGGATGCTTAACTGACTGAGATACATAGGCGCCCCTGGACTTAAGTTTTTAAAGGATAATTGGCTGTTATGTTGAGAATAAATGGTGAAGGAGGACAAGAATCAGGACCTTCTAGGACCAGTAAAAAGTTGTGTTTGATTCGTTACACAAAGCACTGTATTCTAAACTCAAACCTCAGTGGTATCTTTCTTCTCAAGATGAGAGAATGCTGATGTTAGGTAAACAGTGTGGTATGAGGGTGGACCTTGCCTTCCTTTCCTCTCTTCCAGGGCTCCCCCTACTGACTATAGTCAGAATTGAAGGTCTCCTACAGATTGATTTCACAGCCCAGTTTCTGGGAACCCAACCACCTGCTTACCACATGAGAAAGAGAAAAAAGGAACCGGGAGTAAACGGAACCTCATGGATTGGGATTCCTTATTTGAGAGGCATGAACAAATGACCATCTTCACAAGGCTTCCCTGGGGAATAAGTGTTTTTTTTTTTAATGTTTAATATTTATTGGGGGGGGGGGCGAGGGGCGGAGAGAGAGGGAGAGAGAATTCCAAGCAGGCTCCATGCTCAGTGTGGAGTCTGATGTGGGGCTTGATCTCACAACCGTGAGATCATGACCTGAGTTGAAATCAAGAGCTAGACGCTTAAGGAACTGAGCCACCCAGGTTCCCCTAGAGAATAAGTTTTTGAATCTCAGAAGGGTGCCAAGAAGAGAGGAGTCATACAGTAAATACTCTCAAATGCTTTACATAGAGAAGTGAAAAGATGGGTCATGCCTGGTCTTGACCAAGAAGATGAGAGGGTCCTGGAGAAAGACCTGAGAGAGAGAATGTGTGGTGCAGCAATGCAAGCTTAATCAGGATTAGTGGGCTTCACTCCTCTGCTTTGTTTTATGAGGATGTGTGGGTACGTGTGTGTGTGTGTGCGCATGTGTGTGTGCGTGCGTGAGCGCATCTGAGAAATGGACTAGAAGTCCTATCTAGAATTTTCTGAAGTCTGGACAAAGCAGGATGGAGTCTGATGGGTAGCTTCTATTTGCTAAGTGGGAAGGTCAATGACAGTCACTATCTGAAAAACAAATTGCCTTTTCACAGCAATATTGTGCCTTTATAGAGCTTGGCACAGAGTAGCCTTCACAAATGCTTAGTAAGAGAAGTCGAAGACTCTTATAAATGTGTAACCTTTTAAACAGCTATCTCTGACCTATATTACTAGCACAATGCCTTATAGAATAAATATGTTAAATGGATCATAGTCAATAAAATGTCTTGCAATTATATTCTAGTAGACTGAATTTGCCATCTATTTATGTGACTATTGAGGAAAACAAACTGACTGATAAGCTTCTAACCACTTTTTTTCCCCCTGTGAATAACCCAATACATGGCTTACAGAATTTAATTATTCCAGGTAGGTGAATGTATTCAAATGCTGAGTCCCAAGTAACTTAAATGTTTACACTATGACAAGAGCATAACTTTCACAATAAGACCAAAAAAGAAATAAACAAAACAAAAACAAAAACCAAACCAAAACCAAAATCAGGGATATTCCAGTTCTTACTCTGGGTCCTATATTATCTAACTGTACATTCTTGGACGCTTCTGATTGAAGTAACGTAATATTTACTGGTTGTTTACCATATGCCAGGCACTGTTCTAAGTTCTTTACATGTATTAACTCAGTCCTCACAATAACCATATGAGTTGCTTAGTCCCACTTTACGGATGAGGAAACAAAGACACAGAAAGATGGAATGACTTGTTCAGAGACATGTATATATCGAGCATTCCAGAGACTTCCTCCAGTTTCAGGATTTGCTGGGATGACTCACAGGACTCAGCACATACTCATACTCATGGCTATGACTTACTACAATGAAAAGACACAAAGCAAAATGAGCAAAGGGAAAAGCTACGTGGGGTAAAGTTATGGGGAAACCGGGTGCAAGCTTCCAAGAGCCTTCTCCCAGCACATTCCCCCAGTACGTACTTAATTTCTCCAGCAATGAGCTGTGACAACATGAGCGAAAAGTGACTATCAGGGAAGCTTGTTAGAGACTCAGTGCCCAGAGTTTTTACTGGAAGCTGGTCATGTAGGCAGCTTCTGCCCTAGCAAGGATCAAATTCCAGACTCCCAGAAGGAAAGCTGATGTTCAGCATAAATCATATTGTTTGCCCAGGTTAGGTGCAGTGAGCCACTCATACAAATTTAAAAAACGAAGGGATCGCTCTTGATGTCTCAGCTTCTAGATGTCAACCTTTCTGATAATAGCAGTTAGACTTGATATGTCAACACTTTCTTGTACATAAGTCTACTGAGTGGAAGAGCTGGGCTTCCCTCACAGAGATTCTGGAGGCCAAGCAGAGAACTACTATAGATCTATACATTATCAGAGATGTGCAACAGGTAGATTTGGGAGCCTGGAGATGTGCAACAGGTAGATTTGGGAGAGGTCTGGGTAGAGTTGTCAGTGTTGTTGGCCAAGAGTTGCTGACCTATGGTGATATTGAAAACTAAGTTCACATAGGAAGTAAATGTGGATTGACAGTGTATAAAAGAGATCAGAGGACTGTGCCCTGGGGCACTCCACCATCCAGAGGTTGGCTGTATGAAGCTGAAGCTCCGTGGATACTAAGAAGGAGAGGCCAATGAGTTCAGAGGAAAACCAAGAAGAAGTTATGCCCACATGCCAAGTGAAGTAAATGTTTCAAGAAGGCAGAAAAGGAACAGCAGACACTGGTGGCAGATCAGACGAGAAGACTGTGAAGTGACAACTGAGCTTAATCACGTGGAGGTTGTTGACCTTGCAAAGGATGGTTTCAGTGGAGAATGGTCAGGCAGGAGCCCGGCTGCAGTGAGTTCAAGGGAGGATGAGAAGAGAGGAAGTGATCACAAAGTATTAAAAATGCTTTTAAGGCATTTTGCAATAGAAGAAGGAAGGGAAGTTGGATAATGGCTAGAGGGGAAAGGGAATTTCAAAATGTGTGTGTGTGTGTGCATGACAGAAGCGATACAACAGCGTGTGTAAATGCTGATGGGACTGATCCAGTAGAGGAGGGAGATGAGTGATGAGTAAGATAAAGGGATAATGGTGTTCTCCAGTACATGAAAAGGCATGGGACACAGTGTACAAGTTGGCCTCAGATTAGATCACAGACTGCTCACCAGAGTTCCAGAAGGAGGCAAAGTATTAGGGATGCGGAAGTGGCAGTGTGTGGGATTTCTCTTCTGGTTGCTTCAACTTGCATCATGAATTGGGAAACGAAGCATTCAGCTGAGAGTCAGGGACAGAGAGGATGTGATGAAGGTTGAAGAGAGAGGAAGAGGGGTGTGACAGCCATCTAAAGGTCCCAAGGGTGAGCTGACTAAGGAAATATGATAGAATGGCTTCGGCTACTATGGGCCTTAGAGAACCTTGGGCCTTTGCTGCCATGAATCTAAAATGAGATCAGCAGCCCTCTTTGGGTGGTTTTCCCAGCCACGTGCAGGGGCAGAGCTACAGGCACAGAGGGACAGAGTGTTGGATTTAACCAGGATTGGGTTTTGCCAGGCAAGTGTAAGCAAGAGAGAAAGTGGCATGGGCATTGACTGAGTGTAGATACAGGGAGGTTTATCTACAGAGGGAAGGCAGTATTGTGGGACAAAGTTTTAATTCTTTCTTGGAGGTTGGTGTAGAAGAAGGCTTGGTGCTGGAGTGCCTCAAAGTTATTTTCTGTAAATGACCAGCCTATTGTGCAATAAATACACAAGGAGTACAAGATCATTCTGTGGAAATACAGCCTCTTGCTTTTGTTAACTGTGACTCACCATTGTACCGGAAGTCCAATCTGGAAGGCCACCAATCCTCAGTTTTGGAGATGAAGTTCTAGTGACAGGTTGCTGCAACTTTATCAGATGTCATCAACCATGTGGCCTTGAATGGAAGCAATCATGCTCTCAAATGACCCGGACCCTTTATAATCAGTACACCATTCACATAGCACATCTGGCATCCGCCAAGCCTCCCTTCTAGGAAACGGGTTTTAAGAGGTTTACTAGTTGTTCCCACATAGGTGTGAACCATAGTTCCACCATCGCTGACTCTGCACCCACCAGAGAACATTGTACAGCTTCTCTACTTCTTACTCAAACCGGGCCCTTTTGTCAGACACACATGCCCCTCTGGGTTCTTTCATTCTCCCTTTACTGTAGGCTCCAGTGACTCAGCCTGCTTTCCCGATCCTTCCTGTCCCTTGAGGGTCAGGCCACCTTACCTCCTCTCCAGCTTCCTCGCTTCCTAGTCATCTCTGAAGCTAAGCCTTCAGGCAGTTTTGATTGTAAAAGATTTATTGTGAATCACAAATATATAAGACAAATAAATATGTCACAGATAACTACAATTGGCATACTACGGAGTTTCTAGAATCCAACAAAGTTTGTGTAAATATGGTTTGCCTGATGGTTGGGCTCCTGCCTGTGATGGGGAGCTAGAAAACCACCCAGTCTGGGGTGTCTCGATGGCTCAGTCAGGTAAGCGTTGGACTCTTGATTTTGGCTTCGGTCACGATCTCACGGTTTGTGAGCTTGAACCCCGTGTCTGGCTCTGTGCTGAGTGTGCAGAGCCTGCTTGGGATTCTCTCTCTCCCTCTCTCTCTCTCAAAAATAAATATTAAAAAAAAGATTAAAATAAAAGAAGAAGAGAACCACCCAGTCTTCTCTCCTGTGTGTCTCCTTTACTCTCACATGACTCCCGCAGTCATAACACTTGACACTTCTGGTTACCAAATGTGTGTCGAGTTTTCCCACACCGAGCAATTCTCTGTGATAACAGCTGTGTGTCCTCCAATATAACTCAATTCTGACACTACCTGGAGATAGCGTCAGATCCCATGAGGTTAATGGTTCAGTCCCACGAGACTGCTCCCCAGCCCGTCCTTTCTGCCACAAGTAGTAGGTCCCCAGGCTACCCACAACTTCCGATAGACTTGCTACACATTGGAGATTCCCATGACCTCCTCCTCCTTGGGTTCAAGTATATGCTTGAACAGCTAACAGACTCAGAAAAACACTTATACCTACCAGTTTATTAGGAGATAGGATGAAAGATACAGAAGAACAGCCAGTTGAAGAGATACACAGGGCGAGGTCTGGGAGGGTTCTGAGCACAGGGAGCTTCTGTTCCTGGGGACATGGGGGTGTGTCACCCACCTGGTGTGAATGTGTTCACTGGCCTGGAAGCTTTCCGAACCCCCTACTTTTGTGATTTTATGGAGGCTTTCTCATGTAGGCATGGTGGGTCATTAACTCCATTTGCAGCCCCCTCCCCATTGTGGAAGGCAGGGGATGGGACTATAAATTTCAAGCTTCTAATCAGGGTCTGGTCTTTCTGGTGATCAGCCTCCATCCAGCAGTCATCCAGAGTCACCTCCTTAGAATAAGAGATGCCTTCTTAGAACAAAAAGTTACAAGGGTTTCAGGTGTCAGGACCAGAGAGGAAGACCAAATATATAGATTTCTTGCTATACATCATAGTATCACCGATGGGGAATGGACACCACCACTTTAGCCCTTCCCTAAGGCTGAATTCACAGTCAACAATAAGAAGGCCTTCCGTATCCCCCCAGGGTTACCTAAGAAGCCTGAGTCCCAGCTCTGAGGGTCTCCCTGGAGACCAAGATGACCACTGCTGAGGGCCTCAGTCATCACAGCTCATTTGCCCACAGGGCCCCTGACCAAGTCACTTAATTTCTCTGGACCTAAATTTCCTCATCCTTGAGTTGGGGAGAGTAACACATGTTTTATCAAGGGGCTGTAACTGCTAAGAACATACATGGTGGACTTTTTTCTCTTTCCTTTCTCCAGAGCACATTGGAATCACCCTGAAATGGCCTTTTCCAATGATACAGTCTTAGAATCGAACTACTGAAAGCTTCTGAACAATGAGAACCACAGAACTCAGAGTAAACTCTCAAGACACAGGGAGATAGGAGATGCTTCACAGACCAGATGGAGGCATCCCAGACCAGACATACATTTATTCCTCAACTTCTTTGTTACTCTCAATAGTTACGCCAAAGGAAGCACTCCATCTCTCCATCTCTTCTCCCAGACAGTCCTAGGAATTGCTTGTTGGGATAACTGGATTCTGATTCCAGGTCTGCCATTCGACAAGTGCGGGGAACTTCAAGTTTCCCAGGCTCACTGGGCCCATTTCTTGTCTGGAACTGAGGCAAGGGGCCTATTCTTCCTCATTCTAGAATCCTACCTTATTTCACTGTTGCTGAAAACCACGTTCAGAGGGAAGTTAAATAAATATTTCTGAGCACTCAGTATGTAGCAACTAAAATGCCCATAACCTCTACCCTCTTGTAATGGGACAAACAGAGATTAAAAATGGAATTATCAGTGTGAGGATCATTACAAAAAGAGAACTATAGGTACAGGTAGGAATGGGAAACAACCTGGTGAGAGACCGCACAGCGCTGAAAAGAATCAAAAGTAGACAAATATTGGGGCATCTAGGAGGCTCAGTCAGTTAAGTGTCTGACTTTGGCCCAGGTCATGATCTCATGGTTCGTGGGTTTGAGCCTCATGTCGGGCTCTGTGCTGACAGCTCAGAGCCCGGAGCCTGCTTCACATTCTGTGTGTGTGTCTCTCTCTCTGTGCCCCTCCCCCACTCACATTCTTTCTCTCTCTCTCTCTCTCCCTCTCTTTCTGTCTCTGTCTTACTCTTTCTCATAAATAAACATTTTTTTAAAAAGGTAGACAAATATAGATAGCATAGGGTACTAGAGAAGTGGACAGGGAAACAGATCTGGGTTGGGTATTTCATATTTTCATCCAAGGACAAGGGAGACCAGGGAAGGACTCTAAGGAGAGTGACATGATCAAATCTGTATTTTAAAGAGAGTCTAGGCGCAGTGTGTGTGTGTGTGTGTGTGTGTGTGTGTGTGTATGTGTGTAGTGATAGGTGTGGGAGGGGCTGGGGAAATGGATGAATAAATTTCACTTTATATCTGCTGAGTTTGAGGTCCTAGCATCACCTGACAGATCCATACTGTTTAGAAGTTTCATTAAATAACAACTTATTGTGTGGCTCCCCTGCTACAACAAAGCAATAGACACTTACATTGTTTCATTGAACAGATACTATTTTGACCTTTAAAATATCTCACTAACTTTTTGGGTTGTTTTCTGTCTTTCCCAAACCATTTGACTCTTGGTTACTCATTTAGGTTATAATGTGAACGTCCTGACGTAGCAGGGAAATCCCCCGATGTTACTACAGTAGGTCTTAAATCTCCATGGGTGACTTGAGAGAAAAGAACTCAAATACTCAAAAAACTGACACGTTTCTTCTAAAGACCTAAAACATGCCATTAGCCTGTGTAAATGATTTTCTTCTATACTCAGTGTTTTCAAGGCTCAGTCTAGGAAAGTCAGTTTGCCTCCTTCCTGGGAGAAATCACAGGCCCTGGGGGCAGTAAGGAAGATAGAGCTTGAGGCACCCTTAGGTTGGGGCCCTCACTCTTAAACCATGAGATGAGATAACATCAAATCTTAGTTAACCAGAGCCCCAGCTGCTCCGCTGGGCATTTTTAGGTATTTCAACAATTCTGAACTCTGCAATTGTTTGACTTGCTGAATATCTCAGTTTACCACAAGATGGCAGCACAGTGTTCTTTTTTTTTTTTTTTAAAGTAGATGACTAATTTCTGTTTCTAGAGCTCAGATGGAAAGATAAAGAGCTAGAAAGGAACCATAGCTAAGAATTTTTCTCATTCCTATAGTTGAAAAGAAAGGAAGGGATGAATATGGAAGGAAGTAACGAACAGAGGAAGAAAAGAAAGGAAGTGGGATGGAGGGAAGGAGAGACGGGAGGCGATGAAAGGGAAAAGGAAAAGAACAAAGAAAAAAGATCACATTCAGCTAGATTATATTTAACTAAAGAAAAGGAAATAACCAAGCAACCAGTGTAGGAAATTTCCGAGAGAGGAAACCAGTGCTATAACCACATTTATTCACAACCTTCAAGTGTGAGTATAAGATAGACATTTGACCTTCTTATGAAAGCATTTTGTCTCTTTGGGAAACTATGAGAATGAATTTACATTTTACAAAGGGCTCTAGTCCTTTTAAATCAGGCTTACATTAGCATGATTATCAGCTTGTACTTAAAGACTTTTTTTAGTATCCTTCAAAGAGGTTCCACACATTGGTTTCCATGTTTAATTGAGTGAAGAAATAAGAGACTATTCAAGAAGAGAATAATCAGACACACACCAGTGGCAATGCCTGGGTGTCACAGAAATGAAAAGGATGCCACCAGTTCAGCGCTCCTCAGAGTGTGAGAGCTGAGAAGAATTCTTTCAGAGCTGGCTCTTCGATTCTCCATGGGCCACCCACTACTTACTTACTTGGCCTACTGTTAATTTCAGCTACTTGCCCTCCTTTGTCTAATGAATTTGGCGTAGCAGAGAGTTCTGTCAAGGGAGATAGTAGAAATGGTGATTGCTTCAGGCACTGAAAATCTTTAGACTGAGGTTTTTCAATCTTACTAATGACATTGTGGGCCAGGTAATTCTCTTTTGGGGAGGGGGTGGGCAAAGGATGTCCTTTCCATGGCAAGATATTTAGCAGCATCCCCGGCATATATTCCTAGATGCCTGTAAAATCTCCCCGGTTGTGACAACCAAAACTGTCTCCAGACACTGCCAAGTGTCTCCTGGCAAGCAGACTTGTCTTCACTGTTCTATCTGAGAACAAGGGCTTTAGATAAACTCTAACTACAGGAATGATGGAAATCCTGAAAGTTTTGTTTATCTTGCTGTCTTGTTCATGAGCAAAGCTCACACTGAATCATTGGAGAAATGCGCATTCTTCAAATCCCTGTTAGAGATTTCCAAGTATTAAATCCAGGCATGAAATGCCTTTATTAGAGGCAGGTTAATGTTCTCTATATGAAACAAATAAACATAAATTGATTGTGAATGTTGTGTGAAGCAAAAACTTGTACCAGGCACCATAGAGCGTACAAACCAGTAAGAGTTTTTGTTTGTCTTTGAGATTTCCACAGCGATTCATTGTTCATGAGTTTTACAACTTTTTCATGAAGATAATTTACATTATTAAAACATCTTCAAATATTTAAAAGGCATTATCAGTCATTATCATTTAAAAATTTTTTTAAGTTTATTAATTTATTTTGAGGGAAAGAGAGAGAGAGAGAGAGAGGCAGAGGGAGAGAGAGAAAGAGAATCCCAAGCAGTATCTGCACCATCAGTGCAGAGCCCTATGTGGGTCTTGAACTCACAAACCATGAGATCATGACCTGAGCTGAAATCAAGAGTGGGATACTTAAATGACACCTTAACAGGTGCCCCAGGCAATATCATTTTAAATCACTAACATTTTACTAGAACCTTATGAACACCTACATCATTAAAATTCATCCCTATTACTTAAAAAAAATTTTTTTAATGTTTATTTTATTTTTGAGAAAAAGCAACAGATCATGAGTAGGGAAGGGGCAGAGAGAGAGGGAGACACAGAACCTGAAGCAGGCTTCTGGCTCTGAGCTGTCAGTACACAGCCCGACATGGGGCACGAACCCATGAACTATGAGATCATGAGCTGAGCTGAAGTCAGATGATTAACCAACTGAGCCACCCAGGCTCCCTTTACTTTTAAAAAAAATAACACTGATGAATTAGTGGAAACAATATCCCTTCTTTTTGATGTCTATGAATGTCAGTTACACCTCCAATTAAAGTTCCATTGACAAATCCTTGTCATTTCTTGGTACATATTCTTGGTACAGTTCTTTCACCAGTCATTTTGTAGACAGCATCTTGAAATTGACTTCCATATTCAAGCACATCCAATTCCACCACTTTATAGTTAGCATTCATGTCATGGAAAACTTTTTTTTTTGCCATTGTACAGTAAGAACAAGATGTTTTTGAGAAAATCATTACACAATTATCAGAAATTGTTAATTCAAGAGAATCTGTCGTAAAGGAGCAGTTGCTTACTTCCCCAAAGATGACAATATGCTGTTCCCCAACCTGCTGGCCTCAAGGGCTTGGCCTGGCCCTGCATCTCTTTCTTTAGGGATGAAGCATGTTCATAAAGACTCTCAGGCCCATGGAAATAGCACGTGAGGACTGTGACCAACATTCTGGGAAAACAGAGAAGAAAAATGACTGAAAAAGAATAAAAATGTCTGCAACATTTACGTCAATCGTAGAAATTTTTTTAATAGAAATGAAAACAATTAATGCTGTTGGAATTCTTATTATGTGCCAAATACATTTCTATCCATTGAGAATGTTTACTTTCTATTCATCTAATTTAAATTTTGCAGGATCTCTATGAAGAAGTATTATTCGCATTCTATAGGTGAAGAAACAGGCTGAGGGTTCACGTCACTAGTTCAATGTTACATTAATAGTAGGTGACAAAGGCCAGATTAAACCTGATCTTTCCAACACCAAGGACTGTGCATGCTCTTGTATAAGCCACTGACCCTTGAGGATCTAGTTAGGGGAATAATACATGTACATAGGAAAGGTGTCTAATGTCCCAGGGCTGTGGATGATTTATTTCAAAAGCCATAAAAATTACAAGACACATTGTTATTCCCTAGAGTGATTGAGGAATTGTTGGGGTGTGGTGGGTCTTGATCTGAGGGTCTTTAAGAAATGAAGAATTAGAGAGATGGAATAGAAATATGGACAGGGGTGGGTTCAGTTCCACCCGGGGTAATCTTCTGAGGAACAGCATGGCTGCGTGAGGGTGTTCAGAGTACAGGCTAGGGGCAGCTATACAGAGCAGAAGACACATGCAGAGAATGAGAATCACATGGGCTGGAAAGGGAGGCTGACAAGGAATGTCAGAGGATCTTGAATATAATCCAGATGTCATAAACTGTCAGCCCAAAGCAGTATTTTTTGTTCAGCTCAGAGTTGTGAAAATCGAGAAATTGAAAAAAAAGAATTTGGATTTCTAACATTCTTGACTATGGCAACATTGGGCCTACATTCTTGTATCTCAACTTTTGGCTGAACCCCAGAAGGAGTTGCTGTCTATTTTAATGGGTGAGGGCTTTCCAGTTCACCAAAATCCATACCATGCCCTATTCTATTACCCTTCTCTTGCTTTACTCAATTGTCTCTTTGCCCTTATGAGCAGTGGGATTTGCAGCTAAATTTTGAAAGAGGTGTTCTCAAAAAATTAATTTGATAAAACCCATTATAAATTTACTATTTCTTCCAATAATCCACTAGATATAGGAGACAAAAGCTAATCCTCCACTCAACATTTTCCT